TAATTGATTACTCTTACGTGGTTTCCACTCTTCCCTCTCCTCTAGCACTTGCTCTGAGATCACATGTGCTTTTGCCCTCAAAATGTTTATAGGAGATGGTGACTACATCCCTGGTAACCCTTTTTGTGGAATAAATCACAAAGCCAAGTGCATGCTCATGCTGCTCTGTTGCAGGGGAGGTGCTTGTTGCCCTGCACAGAATAGTTTCCAGTAGTGGAAAGTTCTTTTATGAGAGCTGTTTGTGGGGGGGAATTTTGCTTTGTGCCTCCCAGCTCCCTCTGAAACCAAAAGCTTGCCCTTAGTTCACGCTGGCCTCTAGACTGAGCTCACTGTTGTTTTCTGGGTGTGGTGGCAAAATTACCCAAATTGTCAGTGTCTCTGGTGTTGAGTTTGGGCCTGTAAGTGGCACAGAGCCAAACTGGCAACTTGCAGTGCAGCTTTCATGTAGGTTAGATGATAGATTGTTAACAGAGGTCAAAGCCTCTTGGGTTTTCTATTTTCGTGACAATTTTGGCTAACCTTTCCTTAAAATACAGGTCCTTCAGATTTTCAGTTGAAACTGGGGTAGAAGTGGACACTCAGGTCCTAGCTGAACTATTGATTGCTCTTACAACAGTGTGGTTTTATTTATTAATTTATCTTCTCTATTGAATTAAGTGCTTTGAAGGCTTTTGCAAGCAGATTCCATCTCCTGGAAGGGAATATTGCTGCCCTTTTGGCTCCAATTCTGTTTCCAGTCCACTATTCAGTCTTGACTAAGCAAGTTTCTCCTTAGAAAAACAGTTCATGATTCTTTTATTTAATATTTTTAAATATTACTGTAAAAGGAGATTGTTTCTGTAGAGATATGAGGCTGTATCCAATACCAGCAGTTTAAGCAAGGTCAGAATTTTAATTGGAAAATGATGAAATGTTTTCAAATGTGCAAAGTCTGGGACTATTTCTGTCAGTCACTGACTTGCATGATAACAAGTGTTAGGTGAACATCAGCCTTACCTGTTGTGCATCTGTTCCAAGTTTCCTTTCTCTGTCACAGTGCTGACCTCAGGACATTTCCAACCTGCAAAAGGAGCCACACTGGTTCACAAGGCTGAAGAGAAATTCTTTCATGTAAATGAAATTTGACACCTTCATACTTTGTAAAACTCCTGCCAAATGTTTCTGAGAGGATTCTGAGTTTGCTGGTATTCAAGGAGGAGGTGGAGTAGCTCTGCTGGATGCTGCACTTTGGGCTTCCAATACAAAATTGTACTTAAACAGCTCAAACCACAGCAGTTTTGATACTTGTTTTTACAGTTTTTCAAATACTTCTACCATGATATAGTGAGCCCAGTGACAAATAGTCACTTAAACATTCTATCATAAAGCTTTCACTGCCATTAAGGAATTACAGGAGATGAGGGTACATCTTTATCCTGGGTGATTTTGAGCAGAAGCTGGTTATGGCAACTTCAGGTATCAAGCTGTTGTTCAGCTGTGCAGTTTTGGTGGGTGCAGCTCTCCCCAGGTCATATCCACCTCTCCAACAAGAGCCAGTGGGCACTCCAGTGTGTGTTCCACCCTTCTGGAATGTGGAGTGCTCCACCTTCACTGCCTTTATGGTAGTCCTTAAGTACCCCTTTTTTTGCTTATTGTGGTTGGAAATGGTTGTTACTGTCCTTGGTGCTTCATCCCGTGGATCTCAAAGGTGTGTGAGAAGAGGAGAAGGTGGGATGGTGCCACTGCAGCAACACAGGATGGGAGCAGCCCTTGCTCCAGGCATGGGCAACCCTGGGGTGGCCTTTCTGGGAGATACACAGCCTTCCTGGGTGCCCCAAAAGTTACTAATGTCGCCCTTCAAACTCATCTTTCCAAAACTCAAAAACTCTCTTGGTAAAATCTTGCCTGCTCCCAGTGGATCTCTGCAGAAGGAGCGTATAAACGATACTGCTTCCAGGCACAAAAGAGAATTGTAAGTATTGTTAGTGTTGGGTGGTAGTCATGTTCCTGGTTTGGTGTTTGGGGTTTTTTCAATTGAGAAAATCTTTTTTTCTGTGCTCTCTATTGGCTGTTCGGGTCAGAAGTTCAGTTTGAGAAGCATACATGGAACAATTAATTTTTGTCTACTTAAGTACATGCATGTACATGTGTGTATAGATTTGTATTTATAAGCATTGTTATTGATAGGATTTGAAAAATTAGTTGTATTTCTAAAGTGTGGTGGGTTTTAAGGCATAGATCTTGACTGTGGGTGGGAAAGGAAGAATGTTTGAAAACTTAGAGAGTTTTGTGATGGATTGGAGATGCCAAACAACAAAAGGTGGTGCAGCTTGGGAGTCATGTATCCTCTAAGGTAAATTTACAGGTTTCATAATTAAATATAGTATTTAGCCAAAATTACCATGAAATGTCAACTTGAAACACTGTGTTCTTAAATTCAGGCTTGTCATTTTTGGGTCAGAAATTGAACAGCAGCTAACAACTTAATGTTCCTGTTGTTGGGAAGATGTCAGAAACGGGACTGCGTTTTGTAGTGAAGGTTCATGAAACACTTTGAAACCTACTGAACTGTCAGAAGGGATGTCCTGTTATTGTGAGCATGTGATGTTTTCAGGGTCATTTAAAAGATTATGGTCTCTGAAGCTCTGTAAATCAGGGATGTGTGCTCACACTGGAAGATGGGATTTGCTTGCTGTAGTCCTAGTATTACAGGAATAGATGGATGAAGAATAAATTGCATGTTGCAGGGGGATAATTGGAGACAGCAGGTATCTCTTCTTATTTTTTGTAATTAATACATGGAACCCTTAGTGTCAGAGCCATAGTGGCATATTTAAGCCTTAGGGTAGAGAGGAGAATATTTTTCAAATGATTAACCTGAAAAGATGAGACCTTGCAAACTGAGTGTGGACAGTGCAATATGAAATGTGGAGCTTGCACTTACTGTCTCATGTCTGTGATATTTCAAGAGCACTAATAGCCATTTGATGAAAGTATAAACTCTGTGATTTTGTGCTTTTGCCAAATTACTATGGAAGTGTTGACAAAACAGCTGGGGAAGTCATTCATCACATTTTTCTGAAGTCACACATGAGATTCTTTTTAAATTTAACTGCATGACTTCTTCTTGATGTATCTTCTTTTCTTTTAGGGTGATCTGGGTTTGCTGTGCATTAAGGCTTTGAAGACTGGTTTAAAGCTGATAATCAATGGAAAAATGTGTCACACAGCTGTACAATATGCAAATTAGGGTTTACTCAGAACTGTTCTGGAGATGATCCTTTAGTGGGGGCTACTAATGGGAACAGAAGATCTTGATACTTTGACTCATTTAAGAGTTATAACGATCTGTTGCAAAAGTAGAAGAGCACTTTCCCTCTGCTTGTGCTGTTTGAAGAGCTTTTTAATTAGAAACCAATTTTCCTTGACCTGGTGGTGGTAATTCCTAGAAGGGCTGAAGACAAGAAGCAAAGTTTTGTCTTTGGAGGCAGTGAAGGAGCTGGAGAAGAAGTGTGGGAGGTGTGAAGGTCCATGGGGCTCTGCTTGGGCAGAGGAAACACTGGTGGGGAGGCACCTTGTGTCTGGGCACACTGTGGAGGACCTGGCAGGGCTGCAAGTAGTTGCACTGTGGAATTTTTTTTTTCTTTGTTTTCCTCTAGTAGTGAGTATTAAGTTTCATTATAAGGACTGGTTCCTTTTTTTTAATTTTTTTTTTATTTCTCAGTAGGATTTTGGTTTGCCCTTCAAATACAATTTCAAAGTGAAACTTGGGCTGTGAGGCTTCCTTGTGGTAGAGATGAAACCCACAGGGATTTCTGTCTGAGGTTGAAATATAGCTGAGATGGAAAACCCCTCTTTGTTTCAGGACAATTTGAGTTGGAAGGGACCCTAAAGATCAGCCAGTTCTGACCCCCTGCCATGGGCAGGAACACCTTCCACTATCTCAGGTTGCTCAGAGCCCTGTCCAACCTTGAACACTTCAGGGACAGGACAGCCACAGCTTCTCTGGGCAGCCAGTGCTAGGGCCTCACCACCCCCACAGTAAAGATTTCTAAATATCTAATCTTAACCTGCTCCCTTTCAATGGTTTAAAGCCATTCCCATTTGTCTTGTCACTATCTGCTCTTGTAAGCATCAAACCAAATCAAATAATTTGATGTCAGTGATACAATTCCTGGAGGAAGAGGAGCCGTTTTAGAGGCAGGGACAGTGCAGTGTTCCAAGCTCCATCTCAGCTACTTGTTGTGTGAGGTGTGTTGGAGAGAGAAGCCCCAGGAGTAGGAGCCCCTGGTACAGGTTGTGAAAGGGGTCTGGTCACTTCATTGTAGTGCTGTTCAATGAGACTTGCAGGAAACTGGGGTAGACCTCTGACATGACCCTGGAAAGTGTAGAAAATACTATCTTTTAAGTAATCTTGATTTCTTTTTAAAAATCAGGTCCATTAGGTCAAGCTCCAAGCTTGAAATCTTGCTAATTTGTATTTATATACATCAAGCTGTGAAGCTCATCCCTCATTCTTTGCTTCCTTTCAAAATTCATGCAGAAATGAATAAAAGGCCCCTGCTTGATAAAGTCTTTTAAAATTAATAAAATTCCCTTTGAGCTGCAGCATGCAAATTGGGTCATCTCTCTGCTTGCTTGAAACATGAGGATTCATGTTACCTCCTGCCATTTGTATCCCAGATCTTTAAGATGAGAGCAACTGGCATTATCCAAATGGATGCCCTGGTGTGCTTTAACAGAAGGAAAATAGCTGCAGAAACCTGGATGTGCTGAGCCTGTGCCTTCTGTCTTGCTTCAGAAACAATCTAGGACCGATTCATTGGGCTTTAAAAGGTTCTGATGAAGTTTTTCAGGGAGGAGGTAACTCCAGACTCTCCCAGCAGCTCCTTCTCTTTAAGCCAGGCTCCAGAGCTCGATCTGGTCCAACAGGAGTGGCTGTAGCCATTGATCGCTGATAGCCACCATGGGGAACAGCGTGATCACATTTCCTTTCAAAGCAGCCACGTCGTGGTTGATGTGTGCTGAAAAATCACTTTATTTTACCAGTTTGTTGCAGATTGGGGAATCTTTGTGGTAAAATGTTGCCTTGAGTAGTTTGTGATGTGCTGGGAATGCAGGATTCTTGTTGGTACACGCTGAGCTGAATGCAGGATATAATGGGGTTCTTGGGTGTGGATGGGGGTGGAAGGTAAAATCCACCTAAAAAGAAAAAAGGAAAATCAAAAGTTTGAACTTTCTAAGGGAGCTACTGGAGGGCAGGGAGGGTGAGCAAACCCAGCGTGGGGCCTTCCCTGCTCTGGTCTGTGCCGCAGGGGTACAGCTGGGCAGGAACAGTGTGAGCTGGCACTGGAGCAGATGAAAATGAGGGCAAAAATAAAAGGAGCAAGTCCATTGCCAACTTTTAAAGCCAGAAGGGCAGAGGGTTGCTCTGTGCACTGAGCAGAAAGCATTGAGCCCTGCCCTTTCCTGGACACTGGACTGCTGCAGCCAGGCCTCTCCTGCGACAGAAATAGCACTCCATCAGTCTGCCCCTTTTCCCAAATCCCACACCCTTGTTTTTTCCATCACTTCCCAGGACTTTGCCACCTCCCCTGCCGTCTTCTGCCACTTCTGGATTTTTCTTCCCCCCTTGCAGGAAATGCCTGGCTTTCATGGCAGGCGAGATAGCTGGTCCTGGCCTGGGAAAGGCCAGCCCAAATCCCCTAATTATAAACTTATTATGTGTTTTTGGGTTGAAGTAGGGAGACATTACCCATTATTCAAGTGCAGTGCCATCGGTGCTGAGAGAGCTGAGCTGTTAGAGCCAGTGCAGGGTGTGAGATAGGGAGAGGAGGGGGTGGGACACTGGGAGCAGTGCAGGGCATGGATTGGGAGCTGCTGGCACCTTCATTTTCTACCCAGCTGAGCACTCTAGGGACCACTTTGGATAAATATTTCCTTGAATCTTGCAGGACAAGAGTCTCAGACAAACACCCTGAACCACCTTGTGTTCTCTGCAACCCTGAGTGCATTTGCTCTGGAAGGAAAATGATTGCCAATAATTGGTGAAAGTCACTGATCTATGGGAGCTGACTCAAAACCTCATTGTTTGTCCTGTGCTTTGGCTGATAAATCTCACTGTTAAAATAAACTCCCTTTACAGTTTACAAAAGCGATGGTGCAGATGGGGCAGCTGCTCCAGCATTCCCCGGATAGTTTTGGAGTGATTTCAGGCTCTTTCAGCTTTCAAAACTATGTGAGGATTTTAAAATGGCTGCTTTTTCTTGTAAGCATCACATCAAATAGCAAGAGAAGGAATTTTAAGGGTTGTCACTGTCAAACTCAGGGACGTTTTCCAAAGAGGGCTTGATGCAAATTTTGGTTTCTATCAAGTCTGATAAACCCAAGTGAGCACAGGCTGAAAGAGGATTTTATAACTCCTGCTAAGCGTCACAGTGTTAGTGTATCCTGGCATTTAGAAACAAGTTTAAGAACAATTAATCAGAAGAGCTTGCTCAACATAGCCTCTAGTCATGGTGAGGGAGTATTTTCTTGGCTGAGCATGTTGTCTACAGTTTCAGAAGAGGTGAGGGGTGTGTGTGCACACGTGGTTTTGGAAAATACCCTGGGCTGGGTGTTTTATAATGAGCATCCGTCATTTCCAGCAGGAATTAAAAGAAAGTGATGATTTGGCAACTTTCTGAAAACAACTTTCAAGGTGTGGCCCCCAAATTAGACCATTTGTGTTTTTTAGTAGAGTCACTTGGTCTCCTGCTGTCTTCTCTGTGCTGTCATACATTAGATATGAAGCTTTCATGAGAAGAAACAAAAGATCCAGTTAAACTCCAGGATTTTTTCAGCCCAGGGTAATTCAGGCCTGTAGACAGATCTGTTAGATGAGCTTTCAGATTGAACTGGTTCCTGTAAAACATAAAGTTTCTCAGCAACTGTTGGACTTCAGTCCAGGAAGAACCCTGGTAGCTTCTGTCAAGGTAAATATTAATATGGGAGCTGCTGTAACAATGGAAAAGTTTATTGGTAGAAAAATCTTATCAACAGGTTACAACGACCATAGTGTAATTGACTTCAGATAAATGTGTTTAAATGGGGATTTTTTTCTTTCTCTTTTGATTGCTCCTTCCGTTGCAGTTCAGCTCTCTGCAGCAGCAGCGGATATAGTTGAGTCATCAGAAACTCCAGTGTCCTCTGTAAGCCCAGGGTAAATTCCAAACCCTTGGAACAGGAAGGGTTGAAAAATTCAAGAAAAGTTCTCCCCGTCCCACTCTGCTTTCTGCACTGTCTGTGATGTCAGTGTGCATCAGGAACCGCTCAGGTGAACTTGAGACTTCCAGCTGAAGCAGCAATATGATGCCTTGCTCTGAGTTTACACTGGCCCTTAGTGTCTTGGAGTCCTAGAAAGACACTTTGCAGGCCATCCTTCAAGGAAGATTTGAATGGAGGAAGTTTCCTGCAAGCCATCTGTGAATGACTGGGTGGCAGGAGCTTAGCTCGGAGCTGTTGTGTCATTAGATACAGCCGGATGTCCCTCACCAGGTGCATCTCCTGATGCTGCTCACGGGACCAGGGGCTCTCTGGTGTTTGTGGCCTCAGGGATGTGTTCCTTTGGACTGAGCAAACTGGTGCACCTGCTTTTTACTTCATAGTACAGGGGAAAGCCCCGATTCTAGGTGTATTTCTTTGGTGAGGTGTGTAAGAACAGCAGTAGGGCTGCCGTGCGGGAAGTGAGCTGGTAAATGCAAATGAACAGCTCCATCTCCTCAGGATGTTTACCCTGGTTTGTTCTGCATAGTTCTGTCATTGCTGTCTTACCATTAATTACTGCCAGTTCCTGCTAGGATTTCAGTTCAATTCCTGGACATACATGGAAATTACTTCAATGTAACACTAAATAATAAAATATTTAATAATAATTTAATTTAATAATATATAATATTATATATATAATTTAATAATAATAATAATCTAAATAATAATGGTAGCCCGTGCAGCACTGCTTTTGGTGTGAAGTGCTCCAAGACTTACCTGTCCCAGCTCACCTGGCATGTCTCTGCCGCTGTTTTTAATCCAGTGTGTTATCTTCATTTTCCAGGATGACGCACAGACCCTTTGGTGTAGCTGGTGGCTCCCCTTAGCCCCCACCTGGTCCAAGTTTGGGCAGCCGTGCAGAATGGCTGTGTGACCGCCCAAGCCCGGGCTGGCAGCGGCTGTTCGGCCAGGACAGCTCGCCACAGCCAATATTGCCCTCTGCTGGTTTACTCCAGCTCCAAGGAGCCCCGTTTCCCACTGCCAGGCAGCACCACTTTGCTAGAAATTGTTTCCCAGCCCTTCTTGCTTGGAGCAGAAGGCAGCTTTTAGCACTGACACAGCTTTTCAGGATGCTACAGCTCATGTTTGGTTTTTTCTTCCCTGGGAGCTGCTGATCATTTTGGAGAACCTGGTGCACCAGAAAACCAAACCTTAATTATTGTTTTTAAATGTTACGGGTAATACCAAATCTGTAATTTTCAGAACTAACCTTTAGAAATATAACTTCTCCAAACTGGTTTTGCAATTGAAAGAACTGCTAGGTTTTTAATTATTATTTGCATTAGTAGAATAAGTTCTTTTGCATAACACCATAACCTGGATGCTGATTCCAGCTGCCCTCGATAATTTCCCCCTTCCCTGCCCCAGCTGGGGTGGCTGCACGATGAGCTGGCTGCAGGCCCCGAGCTGGGTTAAAAATAAGCTGGCAAAAGGAATTATTTTTAGCTGGGGTCAGTCCCTGCTTAGGGTCATGGCGTGGCTGCCCAGGCTCTCGCATGGGTGTGCTGGCGTGGGGGCACAGGGGATGGCAAGAAGGAGGTGTTGGGGGAACTGAGGGCTGTTTAAAGCCAGAGCACTCCTGGAAGGTGCTCCTTGGGTGGATATTCAGAAAACTCAGGTATTCCACACCCAGCCCCCACCCCCAATACCAGCTGTCTTCCTGAAAGCCATTTCTAGGACAAACTTCACTGCTGACAGAGCTCTAGCAGAATTTAAGCACTTTTTGGTGGTGATGTCCTTTGTGGCTAACTTGTCCCAGAGTAAATTCTATTCAAGTTTTGTATTTGCAGTGGGATTGTCTGGCTCAAATGTTTCAATTATGTAGAACAGGAGAGAATAACTAACACAAATCACAGTTTAGTTTTGCTGTGCCAGGTGTGCTAAAGGTGGAGGATCAGAGGAAGATCTGACAGCTCATGCCATGCATAGTACTGGGGTTGATTCAGTGTTTAAATCACAGCTGACATGATATTAGATCATTTAACTAATTTCTGGTGCCATCCTGCTTTCCCACAACTCATAAAGGGGGAAAAGTTTGGGAAAATTTTGTGGTCTACTTGTTGAACTAAAATTTGCCTTTGCTTTGGGGATATGGAAGACTGAAGGATTCTTACATGATCAAGATGGATCTAATCCTTCCACATACTTGAAGAGAGCTAATAAGAAGGATGGAGACAGACCTTTTAGTAGGGCCTGTAGTGACAGACAAGGTGTAGTGGTTTTAAACTGAAGGAGGGTTGACTTAGATACAAAGATGAAATATTTACAATGGGGGTGGTGAAACTCTGGCACAGGTTGTCCAGGGAGTTGGTTGGTGTCTCATCCCTGAAAACATTCAAGGTCAGGTTGGCTGGAGCCCTGAGACATCCTCATCTAGTGGAAGATGTCCCTGCTTATTACAGAAGGGTTGGACCAGCTGAGCTTTAAAGGTTCCTTCCAGCTGAAGTGTTCTATGATTCCAAAGGTGTGCTGGTTCCCTGAGCCCAGTACTGAGGAGCTGTGCGAGTGTGCCTGCTTGGGGTGTCTCTGTGGTGCACAAACACACCCTGAGTGGCCTCAAGACTGGCCCCAGCATATTTCCCATTCCTGTGTCTGTTTGCAAATATAAATTTTAAAAATGCATTAAACAAAACTTCGCACATGAAAAAGAAATCCATGCACTTTGTGTTTCCGTGGGAGAGGAGGGCTCTCCTATTTCTGGTGCATTGTAATTTGTTAGGAAGTGAACTCTCTTGACTAGTTTTCGTATGTGCAGCTGTTGTAAATAGGTTCCATGTGCCTTGGCATTTTATAGGCTTACCTTCACAGACCTGGCATCGTCAGCCTGAAACCTGCTTCAGTGCTGTTTGTATTGTGTATAGAATCCTGTAGCCTCTTAAGGGTAATGATGACAGTTCTTCATCTGTCATTCCCTGAGCTTTTCCTTGCCCTCTGCCTCTTGTAGCTGAAGTCCTGGTGCTGTCCTGGAAGCCCTCTCCTACTGCAGGAGAGCCATACACCCAGGGTTTTACACTGGCATGATGCAGAGACTAAATGCAAAAATCCTTGTCTCTCGTGTTTTTGTGGCATTTGCTTGTTCCTTTGGAAGTGTGGGTGACTCCAGGTTACAAAAGCAGGAGCGCTGAGGTGGGGATGGGAATTTAACCACTCGGGAAGGAGCATCCTCTGCTAACACCCAAGCACAGCCTGTCGGATGCTCGGGCAGACAACACGAGGCACATCCTGGAGTCCTCCTCTGCTGCAGGGCCTCTGCTGCCTCACTGCACTGTGAAATGACTTTTTAAACATACCTTGCCTCCTTTTCCTCATGCCCTCAGAAGCATCTCCCCGTGTACAAGGTAAAGACAATGCAGCCCGTTGCGTTTGGAAGCGGCGGTGTGGCGCACACACAAAGTGGGTATTCCTGCTCTGTCCCGTGTTGCGTACGTGGTGCCTTTTTCATCTTCAAAGCATTTTCCAGCCATGAACTAAGAGCACACGCCAGAGCTGAGAGCACACACCCCTCCCTGAGCAGCTGATGCTGGGCACATCCCAGGAAAAACTTCCAGAATATGACACACCACTTTTGATGAAAATAAAATGATGCCATATTTCATCAGCTCTATTAGATGTACTTAAGTAATTGAACTAATGAAACTTTAAGAAGCCTTTAAGAGACAAATGTGGTACACACCTTTGTTCCCAGTCTTTCCCCCCTACCCCCCTTATTTTCCTTGTTGAACATTTTTTGTTGACTTTTTGGGATCTGTTTGTTTTTCAGTGTGTGATTTTGCTGAGTTTTGTGTGTGTTATGGTAGTGATTTCTCTGCTTTGCAGCAGTGGTACTATTACAGTTTCTGCAGCAAAGGAAAGTGTTCTCTGCAAAACAGCATGAGTATGATGGGAGTACCTCATCTTTCATACCGGTTTTTGCAAACACTGGGTTTTATTTCCATTGTGTTCATTGGCCTGTGCTGTGTGTGCTTGCCTTGCCTCTGGCATGTGTTTACCTCTCACAGTTTCAACATGATTTCTTGTCTTCATGTGTTCCTTCACACATTTCTACCATCCTTCCGGCTGTGATGGCCAACATCCAGCCCCTCTGAACCCATGTTGGCTTAATTCTTGTCCCACCACCCCTGTAGCCAGCTTGGGCTTATCTCTCCTTTCCCTTTACCTTTTCCTTGAGCGGGACAGTCCAGGTGAGGTGGGATGTGATGACATGCTCTGCACAGGACAGAAATCCTGCCCAGGGCCATGTGCTCAGCTCCCTCATCCTGCCTTTTGGAAAAAAGGGAACAATGGCCCCCGACTCATGATATCTGGTGGACTTTTTTGGGTGGTTTCAGTGTAGTGACTGGCCACTGATGGAGCTTTCTGCTCCAGACACTCCTCAACCTGCATATACACAGGATTGTCTGTGACCAACCACAGCCAAGACATTAGTATTGTGACCCCTAACATCCAGCCCATTTCTGAGGCTTTTTTTCCAGGCTGAATTTATGCATTCTGGGTTAAGCTTACTTTTCTTGCGTTTTTTGCTTTTTGCAGGGGAGGCAGATGAAGAAGCGTTTGCCGAGGAGTGCAGACGGAGAGGACAACACGCGCTGCCCTCCCAGCCGACCACGCTTCGCCTGCTGAAGTCTCACAAGCCTGCCAGCTGCCCCCGCTTTGCCAGCCATTACAATAGTGATGAGGTGGAAGAACAAGATAAAAGCCGGGTTACGAGCAGCTTCGAGGCCCCTTTTTATTTATCAGGTGTGCACAAGCGTGTTGGTGAGAAACATGCAGAGAAGGACCCATCACATAGTCAAAAGCCAAACCCAAAAAGCCAAGCAAGCAGTTGGTGCTGTGTGTTGACTTAATGTTAGTTCCCTGGTAGATAATAAATAGCAGCTTGTTTGCCTTCATCCTGCTTTAGCTCTGATCTTCCATTTAGCCTAGATTCACTAACGCCCTGGGATATTTAAGGATCCATGGCAAACACTGTTGTGCTACTGAAGTGTTGTTTGTTGTTAAAAGTGAAGGCATTTTAGAGGTTAACTCATCACAAGACTTTGCACATTCATTTACTTAAATTGTGCTTGGCTTCATTGTCCAAGGAGAAGTTCAGCAAGTTGATAACTATTTCTGGAAGCTGCAATTTTAGGCAACTAAATCCTAATAGAGGAGGCTGAGAACGTTCAGGCTAACGTAGCAACGTGGCAATTGTTCGGGTTATTTTTGGAAGTAATTAGTCCTTTGATATATTCCCAGTCTGTAATTTTTTGGCAATGTAGTCCAGAGGCTATCTTGGACAACGAAGTCCTCATAACTACTTGGTTTAATTGGAACCTGTGGTCAGAGATCATCCAGGACTGTGAGGACAGGTTTTTCTGATACATGAAGGATGCCTTTCTACTTGGATGCCCCAACCAAGGGCCCTTGTCAGTAGTGTGAAATCAGGTGAAGTGCTGGGAGGTGTGAGTTTATGAGGCTTCTCAGGGTAAACACAGCACATGAAAAATACTCACTGTATCCCAAAACAGGCACCCATGCACTCCCAGTGCTGCACCAAATTCCACTGTGTTTATGAGCCTTTAAACCTAACCCTGTCTTTTGTATGGAAGACCTAAAGGTATTATGATGGATTACAGATTGAAAAAATTAGATTATTGTCTTCCTGATAAATTGCTGGAAGCTTTGTGTGTTTAAAGATGGCCAAGCTGAATCTTCTGTTTTAGAAAAAAAAAATAAAAAAAAAAATAATAAGTTACAGAGGCCTGAATGTAACCTTTGGGCTGATGTCATGTGAAGCCTCCCATGCAAGGGTTACAGGTACGGTCTCCTGTGCCTGTGGCTGGCAAAACAAAACATTGTCTCTGCCTTTGGACACACAAGGGTTTCTGCAATTGCAGTATTTTGCAATGGATTCCAAGGAGCAGCTGAGTTTGACACACACCGTGCAATTTTGGAGCAATTTTTAAGACTGCTTAGGACTTTTTGCTGTGAATTTATTTATGCTCCAAGACGCACAAGTTTGCAATTAAAATTAATTTCCAGAAGTATTAGTGCAATCACAAAATGCTCTCTTCTAGCAGTAGATTGTGAGTTGCCAAAAAAGACTCAGGGTGAAAATTTGATTGCAGTTAGACTAAGATTTTACTGTTGCTTTAAATATTTTGCCTGCTGTTCCTCTGATGGACAGGGCTGCTGAAGGACTGGTCGAGTCAGTCATAAAAACCTATGTGAGTGTCTTAATCCCTTCCTGGGGAGTTTGTGCACGAGGCCTGGCCAGTAATGCCATTCCCCTTCATGGGTGTTCACCTCTGCTGACTGCCTTGCCCAGCAAGCAGCTTCACCAGCACAGCTCTGTAATTACTGAGACCACTTTACTCACTCGGCTTCTCATCGATCGCTGCCGTGCGTACACGGGCCGGCGTTGGGAGAGAACAGCATCATTTCTGCCTTGCTCCAAAGGCCTCTTAATTCTCTGGGAAATAGCTAAGTTCAATGGCCTCAAACCAGGTGCAGTTCCACCTTGAATCTGATGTTTTTGCCATCACCAGTGTGGGTGAGAAAGGGTCCCCCTTGACAGCAGTACCATGCAGCAGTTTTAGATATCCCAGCTGGAGCATCTCAAGCAAACCCTCAGTCATTAATGATTCACCTGCAGTGATGTGGTGTCCTTTTCCCAGCTCTGCAAATGTTTGAATTTTGATTTTTAAGTCCATAGGAAATTTAAATGAAGGAGGAGGAGATAGGTTTAATCTTGACTATGTGGTGGGAGTCCCTCTGGAAGTGGCATCTTTCTGGTGTCCAAGAGGAAAGGCTGGCCAACTCCTTTAGATTGGCAATATCCAGAGGAGAGATGAATCCTCTTCTTAGTCAGGATTGCCAGTTATCACAGTGGGTATTTAACAAAAAAATGAGAGTTTAATTTAATTCTCCATCTACCATTGACACTTTGTGTTTTAGTGGAAATTGCTCTGGAAACTGTTCAAGGTTTCATAATGGCCTTTTAGAATAAAACTTCACCTCTTGTGCTCTGAAATTGCTGCATATCTCAAACAGTTCTCTAGCTCCAAACAAGGAATTTTTGAAATAAGAACTCAGATACTGCCAGTGATGTGCTCCCTGATAGTGTGATACACGGCTGACTGGTGGGATCTGAGCTGTGTCAAAGTGCTGTTAATGCCAGCAGAGAGCTGGGCATGGCAGCTGTTAATGCCAGAGGTAGTGGTAACTGCTCCTTTAAAAACTACTGCTTTGGATTTGAGAGTTTTGACCTTTATCCAGCAAGAATGATTGAAATGTTTAATTGTTAAAATAGTGAAAAAATATACAAATTTCATTATTTGGAAGATAATATTGCAAGGTTTGCTCTTCCTTTTCAAAGAAATAGCTTTCATTAACCTATAACTTACAACAAAAATAATTAATTTTTTGCTGCATTTTCATCTGCTGGCATCTGTTTGCATCCAAGAGGAAACCATTCTAAAAGAACTAGTTTAACTAATCTTGATCCTTTCCTGGCATGGATTCCTCTGCTGGAAAATTGAGCTGTTTGTACTTAATTTCATCTTTAATTCAGTCTCTGTTCTTTTTACCAACATGCAGTTTCCTGAATTACACTTTACTAACTAGTAACAGTGATGTGCTTTGTTATCCAAACTAATTACTTTATAATTCCATTATAAACTTCCTTTTTGGGCATGTTATGAAAAGAGAAAGGAAAGCAAAGCCGCTGGTTTTTGTGGAAATCTAATACGTGAGGAATGCTGGAGGTGATGAATGATGGAGTTCCCCCTCCCTTTGCTCCACATCCCCTGGCTGTAACTGTGCAAGTGGGATGTACCTGTGTGGGGCAGGGGCTGGGAAGGCTGGCTGGTGGATTTGGAGACTGGCTGGTTGCCCCCAGGCTCAGCCCAGAGCTGCCTTCACGCACGGTGTTCTGGCTGCTGGTACAAAATCATCCTGTTACCCATCAAAGACAGCTGGGCTGTGTGTGGAAGGGCTTTCATGGCTGCATAGCCTTGCAAGCTTTTGCTTGCCATTTGGGAGTAAAATCTTGGAAATCTATTCAGTGCTGGTGTTACTCTAATTAGCAGGAGGCAAACAGCTGCTATCTGGCTTGGTATGTTCTTGGTATGCTAGGCAGAACTGGTAAAGGAAACGGCATGGTGAGCAAGCGTGAAGGAGGGCCCCTGCAAGTTGCTAAAGCTTTTCAGTCCCCTAAAACATCAAAGTTGGGATTACATCACTGGGCTGGCCAGTGAAACTGGAGAACTCACCCCTTAGATTCAACAGTGTGGATAATTGAACAGTGGAACAGCATACCTAGACAGGGTGGGATGTTTTGTCACCCCAGTCTTGACTAAAGGCTCCCAGTCCATGATGCTCCATGGCACAGGCAGGAGCTGTGGATGAGGAGAGGGAAGTAGGTCAGGTTGTGCTGTGTGCAGAGCAGTGGCTGGGGGAGGGGATGTGAAAGTGTAAAGTTGTAATTGCAAATTGAGTCACCCATGAAATTATTCTGAAGCTGTGATCTGGGGTGAATTTTTACAATGGCATATGTGAGTGTGGTCAGTCTAAAATAACAGAGGGTGGCTGCAACTTGGAAATAAGCCAGCTGTCTTTGAAACACCAGTTTATTGTTTTGACTAGAGAGACATTTCTAAGAGCAGAAAATTAGAAAGAGCACTGAAGAACCCAGCTTGAAAGTGCCTCACTGCCCTTTTAAAGCTTTGTGAATGTTGGGGCCATGGCTTTGAAGGAAGGCCACAATTTTAGCAAAAAGTTGGTAGATCTTGGAGAACATTTTCTCTCAGACTTGTGAAGAAATGTGAATCCCTCCTACCCCCAACCTCAATGTTTCACTCTGAAAGTGGAGGGAGGCTCCTTCAAAGTCTTCACCTTAGCAGATCTTGTATAAAAATCAGGCTGTGGCCTTTATTGCTCACTGATGTGGGTCAAGCAGCAGCAATGCTGTGTGTTAATTGTCAGCTGTGCCTGGACACTTGTTTCCTCCTGCTGACTCCTACGCTTCCCTGTGCCGGCAGAAGGAAGCTGGAGCAGACCCGTGGCCGCTCTCTGCATCCTGGTAGAGCGGGCAGGAGACAGGCAGGGCAGGAAAAAGCAGGATACCAGAAATGTGTTGGGTAGGAGTGTCTTCCCAAGGGACACTTGTGCCTTTGGATCGGCCGCCTGATGTGCACACCCCCCTCGCAGCTGCCACCCAAGAATGTGATGAGTTTCACGGTCAGTGACTGAACAAACTCGTGACTTTGCCAAGTGCAGATGGCAGGGAAGTAGAAAGCCAGAAGGAAAGTCAATCTGGGACGCAGCAGAGAAGCTTCCCAGTTTTTTTGGGTCCTTGCTGAGTGATGGTTGAAGGAGCTGCACCTAAGTGTTTCTGGAAGTTGTTTCCAGCCTTCAGCAGCTTTACGAAAGCTGGAATAGCTTCTGTGCTCCCTAGAAGTAGAAAAGAAGGGGATGAAATGGAAAGAGTGGGTTAGCTGATGCTGTTTGTTTTAGACAAGAATTATCCTAGTAGTAAAGCAGGTGTAATTCCAAATGGTGTGGATTCTTGCTTCACCCATCTCTGCTCCTGGCAGCTGACAAAAGCAAGAAGTACCAACTTAGGGAGATTTCTATCTGCATTTGAGTGGATCTGTTTTCCAAACGTCACAGCTTGGGGAAGCTCTTGGCAACCTGTTCTCCCTCTGCCCCGTGAGGCATTTCTAGAGTTTGGGTGGCTAAAGATTGCTGCTAAGGGTGGAAATTTGAACAGCCTTCTCCAAGGCCAGCACTGTTTGGCTGAAGCCAGTTCAGCCTGGCGCTTGCCATGGGAAGTTTCTGTGGATACTTTGGGATGCTGGCGACTCACCAGGACATGGGCTCACTGCAGTGATCAGTCATGGGGCTGCTGCTTTCTAATTCAGATTTTGTTGTCTCATGACTTTGAGGCTAGTCTTGTAACCAAGGCAGCTAAATATGCTTTTAATTAGTGCTGGTTGAAGTATTTGAGTGAAATATGCACCGAAGGGTTACATCTTCAGTGTGCAATTCTTATTTATGTCAGGAGCTGCTTCACTTGTTTGGATCACGTTTTTGGCTGTTATCACCCAGCATAGCATCGCTGGAGCAACAGACTGGCAAAGTTTGACCTATCCTTTCTTCTTAGGTGGGGGTAGAAAAGGAAATGGCAGACAGTGAAATTATTTATCACAGCAGGCTCAAAACAGAAAAGACCTGGCAGTTTTCTCTTGAGGAATACTCTGTGTTTGTGTGTTATCTCCTACTTTGGGCAATCTCTTTCTGTGTGTCAGTGATAACGCTTGAAAGATTTCCACTTTTCAGCCTTATCATTCCAGAGGCTGGTAGGAGACCATGTTGTCAAATGCCTAAATATCTTCATACCACAATATTTTAACATTTGAGTTGTTTCATTTATAACACAATAGATTATGTGGTATTCACTTCCAGTCATAATTTACATTGACTCAGTTTTTTTAAGAAATAGTTGCTAGAATTGCTTTCAAAATCTCAAAAATTTGAATAAAATGGACTATTGCAAAAAAAAAAAAAAATTAGATATAAAATAGCAGCATCAGATGCTATCATGCCTGGATGTGGAAACCTTTTAGACATACTGACACTGCTTTAAGAATGAAAAATTAAAAAAAAATTATGAAGTTAATAACTGCTAGGGTTTAATGATCCTTTCCCAAATATCTGTGTTATTGTTTCAGAGTTCTTACATGAGCTGGTTCAGATCAGCTGATATGATGATGTTTTTCCCTCCAGTAAAGGGAGGAATTCTTTGAATAACACCCCATAGATGACTGATTCTCAGGAGTCAGCATGTCTCTTCCACCTCCATTGACCTCTGTGGGAAAGCAGGGAGATGCTTGAGCCCTTCAGAGATGGGTGCCTTACTCAGTGAATTGAATGCAAAAGGATCCTATTTTTGGTGATGTACAGGGCTGACGTGGAAGGAAACTTCCTGGATGGAGTTCTTAGTGAGGAGATGTTCACACAGTGACTCCAGGGACAGGAGTGTAGCTCAGGGGGTGACAGAGTGCAGGGAAAACCCAGCATCATCTGCAATTCTGCTAAACACTGCCAGTTTTTCTCTTCCTTAAACAAGAAAACTGGTTTCCACTCTAACTTCGTGCAGGCTGATCGCTCATGGCAGAATTTCTAAATAAATATCCTGCCTCTTGACTCAGATGATTGCAAAAGATGAAGTCATGCTGTGGGTACAGCACAGGAGCTAGAGTGATAACCTAGAACAGTTTCCTGTTGCTACAAGTGAGTGTATTTCCTCTAAGCTTTTGATAATGTCTCAAATGGTTTAAGCTGAAAGACTTAGCTCGTGGTTCTCCCCAAGTCTTAGACTGAAGAACTTCAGCTCTGCTGTGGGCACATGTCTAACTGTGCTTGGGAGGAGCTCTGGTGAGGAGCAAACTGCAGCCACAGTGTGGCTTTGTGCTCCCCTGGCCTCCCACCACTTCCTTTTCCCATCTTAATTTTGCTATTGATAAACTGATGGAGAACCAGGTGCACTGGTGAAACTGCTTCCTTGGGGTCATCTCTGCCTGCCCACTGACAGAGCAGAGGAAAAAAAGAGATTTCCATCCAGGCAGAGCTGTGCCTTTCCAGGGCCATTCCTCTGATGCCAGCCCTGCCTCTCAGCTGGATTCAGGGGCTGCTCCACTCTGTGCTGGGCCCGGTCACTGGACTGTGCTGATTTCCAGAGACAGAGCACCACTGAGCTGAAAGATCCCTCCAGCTGTCTCAAAACATCACAGGATGATTGTCTGAGGGAAATGTTTACTGGCTTTCAGTTTAGATTTATGGGTGCACCTGGGTAGATGTGGTGTTTCACACAGTTCACTGCCCGTGCAGGCTGCCAGCAAGTTGGATTTTACTGCAGGTTTGGAGGAGAAGGTGTGATGCCGAGCAAGAACTGCTTTTCACACATCTCCATGGGGGTAATAAACCATTGGAATGATGATCACATGGCTGGAAGCTTGTGCCTACTGAACTTGTAGCAAATAATTGTTGCTTGAACTCAATGCTTTCATGCACCATTGGGGCTGCAGTTGAATATAACCTGTGGTGCATAGTTAAGCATGAGCAGGCTGATGACCAGCTTATAAAATATATATTGGTAAACACTGAGCACCTTCTTATTTACTCAGGATTCTTGGCATTCCCTAGTCTTAAAATGGAAATGCAAATATCGTGGTAACTCTGACTACCGTGAGCAGGAAATGCCAGTACTTAAATTGCTCCTGCTGCATAAGTCTTATTTATTGCTTCCTTTTTGAAAATTATTCTGGTTTTGCATGTGCTCTAATTTTGAAGCTTTTCCTGAATGGCTTTGAAGGATTTTGAAAGTTCTCCAGATCTTTTCAAACTTCAAAGTTTGGTAGTATTTTCTTTCTATCCTATGTAAGGGATATAGTAGAATTGGGGATATAGTGAAAATGGCAATTAAAAAAAACAAACAAACAACACATTAGGAAGCCAGACCTTTTCTTTAATATTCTTTAAACCATTCAGAGAACAAGTGCTTTTGCTAGAGAGAAAAGTCCATAAATGCTGTGAAAAGTGTTTTACAAGCCATGTTTCCTCAGGATACAAAGAAGGCAGCAAGAGGAGGAAGCAGAAGCAGAGAGAGGAGCTGAAGAAGAAGAAGTCAACCAAAGCGAGTTACTAAAATGGACTTCTCTGCTATGGCAATACCTTTATAATAATGACAACTTCATGTTACCTTCAAGCACACCTCTTTTGTGTATATTTTTTGATTGTTCACACTGCTACCAAGGAAGTGACTCATGTTTAAAACTGTACTAAAATTGCACTATGTTATTCCTTTTAGTTTCACGGAATGGCTTTCTTGCCCGTTCAGGTTAGGGAATTCAGACAAGGCTGGTTGTGGTTAGAAGTGTGTTGTTTGAAGATTGGAAAGCGTTACAGAATTTCTTACCTCTTCCTTCCCTGGGACTAAGACAACGCTAGTTTAGTATTTGTTATGTGTCCTGTAGGATATAAAAGGCAAATGCCTGCTTGTTTGGTCACTGGCATCAACATCAGGCCTGTTGAAAGCAGAGTCCTGTTCACTCATGCCATTGGGAGTGGGACTGAGACATGAGCTCTTTTAGGGTAATTTATGCAAGATTAATAAGTGACTTTTATGGTTGGGTTTTTGGGGTTTTTTTTCCCCCCAGGCTGGGCAGTTCTGCCCCTGCTTTTATAATGTTCCCTCATATTAAGTTGTATCATGAAGTTATATCCTCTGATTTTAAGAAATGTAGTGTAATGATGGTCTCCTGTAAGCACTCCTACTGATTTCTCTAGGCTTAGTTGACTCCTGATGAATCATTTAGTGAAATCATTCCTTATTTTAAAAGTTTATTTTCAGAACCTAGAGACAAATCATCCAAGTGCTACTTTAAAACTGCTCTTTGTTTCTTCTGAGTAGGTTTTAGATAACAAACATTTTTTCAGCATCCATTTTAGATTTCATCAACTTGTTTCTGCAAAAAACTTATACCTTTATGTATGAAAGCATTTGACATCGGTTTTCCTGCAGGACTAATTTTTTTTAGCTTGAAAAGATGTCTTGTCTAAAATAAATACACATTTCCTGGCAAGATGACTTCCTTGCTTCCCATACTTGTCTCATGTGCATGACACATTGCTTCTCTTAACCTTTTAGTGTGTACAGAGCCCCTCTGTTGCCTTAAGCATTTACCTGCATGTTTCATGTCAGTGTGTTGTCTCCTTTTTTTAACCTCCAGGTAGGAGTTAGCAGCTTATGGTTTTGTTTTGTTTCTTTTGTCTTCCTCTTGCCAATATGTTGTTGATGTAACAGCCTTAAACCTGGCAATATTGAAAGTCCACAGTTCCTGGAGAAGCTCACTCATCCTAACGTTTCAAAGATGTAGGAATGCACATAATTGTGTAAGAGAGGAGCTAAACAGAAAAAGCCAAGTCTGCATTCTAGCATGGTTTGATATAACAAATCCTGGTGTCTCTGGTATCTGAATGGTTTAGCTTCAATTCCCCAATGTAACCCTCTGCAGGCACCACATAACATGCAATAACCATTTCTGAACTCTCTTAGGGTCTGTAAATTACGGTTAAGATCAAATAAGGACCGAGTACCGGTTTTCTGTCACTTAAGTACCACTTTTTTTTTGTGGAGTGTTACTAATATTTAAAAATAAAGAAAATCTTCCTTTATACTTTGTCCTCTTGCACTGTACTGTAGACTGGCATTTGTTTTTTGTGGTTCATTTCCATTAAAGTTCAGCCTGTAAGCGCAGGGGGGAGAGTCCTCATTCACACAGCACTCACAAGCATTCCAGGTAATTCCTTTTGTTAAATCCATCAGCAAGTCAATACAGTCCCTGTGTCAAATGGCTGATACTGGAAAATGAGGGTTCTTTCTGGCTGGAAACATCACTGTGATGAGAGTATACTTCAAGCAGAGCTTGCACATTTGCCACACAAGGAATATTCATCCTGGATAATGCAAAACATTGAACTGCATCCTGGTGAGGCTGCTCTCCATACTCTAGGAGAAATGCCCCCCATCCATATGTTAGTTCAAAGCTCTTGCACTGCTCAGTACTTGCTGGGGACATGGTGCAGGCTTTGGAAAAGCAGCAGAGGTGGAGGAAGGGAGAGGTGACACCAGCACAGGGCTGTCCCTGTGCTGTGAGCAGCCCCACATAATGGGACAGAGTGGCTCCAGGTCAGGAATGTGCCTTGAAGAGTTAGAGCAGACAGGGATTTGGTACATAAATATCTCCTTGACTCAATCCCTGTGTTAGGCTGGATGGAGGCGGGTAGAGCATTAATTAGGAGACCTGCAGGCAGGCCCTAAATTAGTGAGGAAAAGCCTGTTTCAACAAAGGCATCCCTGTCCCACTGGAAGGGTGCTGCTGTGCTTGCAGGTGGCCTCCTACACCCAGCACCTTCCACTGGGAGAAACTCCTGGGAAACAGAGTCCCCAGAGGAGGGAACCACGGGCGTCACCTCTCCCACAGCTACCTAGAATCTGTCCAAGCTTGCCCAGAAATTAAAGAGATGTGGGCCCATGGCCACTGAGCCTAATTCCTTCTTTCTCAGCCTAATTATTTCTGGATTTTAGCTGAAGGGGAACTGCTCAAGCATAGCGTGGCTGTAGCACTGTGTTCATGGGGCTGTGCTGCTTCCAGGACAGCCTGGAGCTGGTGCTGTGTCTGCAGGAGCAGGCACATGGTTCTGTATCCCAGTGCATCCATCTGACACAGGTGAAGGCTGCCTGATGATGTGGGTACTTAAATATGTGTTGGGGTAGGAAAAAATGCAGGTGGGTGTGAGACACCACAACTGATAACAGATGATGCTGGCCCAAGGGTTGCTGTGAATAAATGTATTGTGAAAGTTGGGAAATGATTCCTGCCCATCCCACAATACTCCTGTGGAAGAGCTCAGAACAGAAACAGAGCTAGTTTAAATATGGGGCCTGGTGTGATGTATAAAATGTACTGCAAAGTTATTCTTTATGGAGAAGATACCTGGGCTCCAAGACCTGAAATGTATCCAATAAGAAAATAAATTTACTAGGGTAGATAACAGTGGAGTGTCAGGATAGTTAGAGATACTGAAAGGTATCCCTTAAAAAGATAAACTGAAAAAAACCCAATTTTTAGAGAGGACACAATTGCAAACAAACACAATGCTGACAGATAAATGTTCCTGCTCCTTGGAAGCTGCCACTATGAAAATAGTTTAAATTCAGTTGTTTTTCCACACCTTTGAGAGATGTGCACTGTCTACTCTTTGAACCAAGATTTTGTAAGACTTTTATTTGAAATAAATTATCTCATCGTGTGTAGGTGTCAGAACGATATAAAAGTATTTTTCAAGTTTTTCCCAATCTCTGCTCCATGCTGGTGCCACCTTCATGAGCAGCTTGCAGACCTGTACATCCTGCTCCTAACAAAGCTCTGTTTCCTTCTATCAGCTTGGCTGCCTTTACAGAGACTTCCCTTTTCCCCAAATGTCAAACTATCTCATGAGCCTTTGTATGTATTTCTTGAAATAACACACTGAAAAGATGATGAGTCAATATCTAAAAAATGCACAGTAATAGTCAGGTAAGCACTAAGCTGCTTGTTTCCCCAGCCACATCTGAAATGTGTGATTCATACCCACTTACTCTTCAGGAATGTTCCTCATCATGTGCCACCAAACTGGTGCCTATCAAGTGGTGGGATTAGCTTGTTACTATATCAAATGTCATTGTTTTATTCTACATGTAAAGAATTCTATTAATTCCCATTTTTTCCCTTTTGTTTTGTGTGCTAGTTGCACAGGATTCCCTGGATGCACAGGTTAGTGCTTGCTGCATTTCAGATCCTGCTTATCTTGTGCAGTTCTGCTCTTTTATGTCCAAGCTGAGCTCACATTTTAGGGTTCTCTCACGTTTCCTTGCCCAGGGAGCACCTAGATGCCCTGTAACCCACACATTGATGGGAGGGTGGGGGTGGCATATTAGCCCATGATTAGCTATATTTAATTATCTTCTTTCCAAGTGGGAAGTTGATCTTAAGAGACTTTTTATCACTCTTTGCAGAACTTTTCTCATTGCTACCTGTTGCACTAAAAACTCTAGGCAAGGCAATTTTCCTCCCTTCTGATGAGAATTAAAAGAGGGCACTTACAGCCACATACAGATCTCAGTAAATATTCATGTTTGGAACTATGGTCGATTCACCTGCCCTGTGTCAGCACACTTTGTCTCTTCTTAAGATCTTCTAGCCAAAAAGGATTAGGTGGGGTGTTAGGAAGCATCAGATCTGTTATGTACCTTGGTGCCCTCTTAGCCACCAGCTGTTAACTCCTGACAGCAGGAGAAACACAAAGTGGCTGAGCTGACGTGAGATGATGACATTTCCAAGCATGGGATAGGTTACCTCGCTGCTCTCATCATGACAAGAGACTGACCATGTCATTTGGCATATCTTGAACTACAGTTTCAAGTATCCCAGACTTGAGATAGGCAGGATCCTGCCTCTTGCTGAAGGCCTCATGCTGTCACTGAAAAACCAGCCCAAAAAGTAAGATGTGAGTATGAGAGGGAGATTAAAACACTTGCACTGATAATGAGTCTGAATGCTTTGATTTCAGGGAAACGCCTCAATATCTGCCTGGAAGCGATCATGGATTTTCTAGGATATCTTCAAGGAGGGAATGGGACCTCACTGTGCTGGCTGGATGTCTAATTGCATCTCTTCAATGCCTGTTTCCATTGGCACACATATGCACCTTTCTACTGAAATAGCAGTTGTCATTTTTTCCATCCCTTGCTTGGGAAGTGCTCATCCTTTGGTCAATGCTGAGGAATTTGCCTGTTCTTTAGGCTGCTGGTGGTTGGAATTTAATGAAGTCTTATATGGCAGGTGTTATTTTTACATTATTTCAGTGTTTGCAGCTGGGAAAATTTCCTTTAACTTAAAAAACAAAGCTTACTTTTAGGCTTTTGAGATGAAAGCTGAGATGGCAAAATCGTGGATCGCACCAAAGCTTTTATGCACATACACCCCTTACATGTAATGGGGTTAAATCTACAAAATATGTGTTTCTACCTTTTTTTTGAGTTCAGATGTGTGGCATTTTTGGACTGTTTAATATGTTTAGATGAGCAGTGCTATTGCTATTGCTACCTCAGACCAGGAGGCTCTTTGCAGCCTCTGTAACAGGCTGCACACTCAGAGCCAAGGAAGGGAAGGAGCACAGAGGAGAGGTTTTGGAGCACTAAAAAAAACACTTCCCACGGTACCTGGAAGGGACATTCACCACAGGTGGTTGACTTGATCCTGGCAGCAGGGACAAGCTAGAACCTGCCATACTGGTGGAGCTGTGACAACACGGGTTTGAGCGCTGCGGGATGCGAGGGGAGCAGGTACCGCGCTGGAGCCTTCCCTGGGCTGTGAGTCATGCTTTGTACCCATGAAAAGGATTTGTCAGCTGCCTGGCCCACTGTCCTGTCTTTGATAGTGACTAATGGTGGCTGCCTAGGGGAAAGCACACGAACAGGCTAAACGTGTTGTACCTCACCAAAATGTTTTCCCAGCCGTGGCACTTTAGGGGTCAGAGGCTCCTGGATCCAGAAATGGCCTTTTTGTTACCCAGTATTTTTTTCCCCATTGACTTGTTAACCTAGAAAGCTTCTCAATACTCATTGTCCTATGACAAGGCATTCCTCATGTGACTCCACTGGGTAATGAGATAGGTGCTGTGTTTTAAAACTGTCTCCTACATCTTCCTTTGCTCCCTCCCCTCCTCCATCCCAGCATGGGAAGAGATGCTGCCCACCACGTCCTCACTCACCTTTTCCATGGCACTCCTGATTTGACACATCTCACTCATGCCAGCCTTTGGTTAACTCTTCTATGGCTCAAGAGGTTCAGCACATTGAGCCATTCCTTGCAGAAAGCCTTCCCTACCTTGGATCACCCTCTCAGAATGGGGAAAGATGGTTAAATAGTGTCTCAGCTCCATGAATTGTGCTGACCATCTGGACAAGCATGAGTAGCAGGTTATCAGCTTGCTAATACTCCACTGACAGAAAGAGAAGTGGGCCATGCACAGCCTGGAGTGCAGGGAGGGCAGACCTGGGGCCCGGCTCTGCTGTCCTCAGTCTCACCAGGCTCTCAGAGGCTCTGGGGTGCGAACACATGAGCTCATGGCAGTGATGGTATCTCCAGAGCGTGGTCCCACGCACCTTCCCTCCCCCTCAGCTGCAATCACGTCATGGGACATTCCTTGGCAGCATTTGGGATGTGCTCCTCCTGACTCAGGCTCGGCTCCTGCCGCCACTCATTGCTCCTCCAAGCGTTCGCTGTCTGTGCCTCTGCCCAGCCTGGGGGTCTGTGGCCACTGCCAGGCCCTGCTGCCACAGAAAGCTGGCACTGGCTGAAGGATCAGCCAGGGAGGTGGGCCCAGTAACCTCGGGAAGGCACCGTGCTCCTGGTGTGACACATCCCTGCAGGCAGAGCTGGGAGCCCTGGGCGGTGTCACCCCACGTGTCCCCGATTTCTGCAGCACTGCCCGTGGCACTGCAACAGCTTTTCCACTGCCAGCCCCTTCTTGTCCAATATGCAGAAGGTATTTCCCATCTGTAGCAATCTGGGCTGTGAGTTTCCCTGTTCCTGTCAGCATCTTTTGTGAAGGGACAGCTGCATGCCAGTGTTCACTTACTGGG